AAGTTGTAATAATTGTTAATTTATTGTATCACCAAATTAATTTTTAAATTAAGCATTTATATTAATACTGAATCAAGTATGCAGCAAATTCAAAAATACCTCACTTTTTAACTTTTTTCTGCAAAAATAGATATGAAACTTGGAAAACAAAGGCTTATTCTGAAGAGTACTGTAACAGGCATATGCAAACATTTGTACAACTAATTTTGCTTTTTAATTTATCAATTGATTTCAGACGATACTTGAAGTTAATAAAAAACTTTTAGGCTATTTCAACCTCCCGAATTTATGGGCACACTGAAAGCAAATGAAGAACTAACTCATGCAGAAATTTTATCTATAAAAGGTGTTGATGGTCCAGAATCTCTTGCATTCCATCGTCCGACTAATAGTGTATTTACTGGCTCTAGAACGGGTTATATTATCAAAATTCATATTGACGAGTTAAATACGGTAATTATTCTTTTAATTATAACTTTTTAAATCAATACATCATGTATATTTTTTAATTGTTTTTTCTTATTGGAGATATTATATTCCTGAAATATTTAAGAAAGACTGTTATTTCAGTAATAAATATAAGTATTATAATTGCAAAATGAACACTATTTAATGATAACAAGAGTGATAATAATTTAGATATTTGTTACAGTGATAAAAATAAATAATAATAAAAATAATTATTATTATGTTAATAGACAAAAGTCGCGCAAGGCTTTAAATTATTAAAAACAAAAAACATTGTAAGCTGCGATGGATCTTATCACACATTTTCTGTTTGCGGTCGACCTCTTGGAATTCGATTCCATCCTCAAGATGCCAATTTGATGATTGTTGCTGATGCTTATCATGGGATATTTGGTGTCCAATTAGAAACTGGTAGTGTTTTGATTATTTTTAACTTGTATCATTCATTTTTTTGGTTCCACAAAAATCATCAGTTGTTTTTTGATGATCGTATGGAACGGAATAGAAGGTCACTATTGACTTAACTGAAATAATATTAAGTTAATTAATTAGTTTTTACTTATTTCCTTGTTATATATCCTTTAACTGTTGTATAAAGAGGTAAGGCTGTTGATTTGTATTTACATTAATTAACTTTAAATTAATTTTAATTTCTTTCATTTGTAAGCAGATATTTTTTGAATATTTTAAAAGAAACTCTAAGGTTTGTATATAAAACTTTGTTTCAGTTACTAATTACTTTATAAATTAAATTGTCATTTTCTTTGATATTGATAAAGTGCACAAAATTATGAATTATCTAAAATTCTATTGTATTTTATTTTGTTTTCAGCACAGATTAAAAGGATTTTGAAGCCTGGTACAAAGGTTATTAACGATGTATCGGGTAACAGGCCTGTTTTGCATTTTAATGATTTTGATATTAGTCGAAGCGGACGGTATATTGTTTTTACTGAACCATCAAATCGTTTCCCTGATCGTGACTTTTTATATGCAATGATGGAGCATAATCCAGATGGACGGTTAATTTTTCTTTCATACAAAATTAAGCTTCCAGAAGTTTTGTGAATTACAAAAACATGAAGAAAGGTCGATTTCAAACATTTAATCCTAATATTTTTTAATTATTAGTCAAAAATTTTCTTATTTTTAGTCTATACAATCATTTTTAATGAAAACCAACTGATAGATTTTTTGCCTTAATATACACTAAAATGTTAATTTAGTTTACTGTGGTTTGATACACAAGACAAAATACTTCGGGTAATAGTTGATAAATTATATTATCCAAATGGAGTAGAACTTGATGATACAGGACGATGCGTGTATTTTTCTGAAATGGGTAATCTCCGAATACTTAAGTAGGTTTCATCTTGTCTAATAATATGAGCAATTTTATGATTTTATTGAAATATTTTGGTAATGTAAACTATTATTCAAGATTACTGTATGTTTGCAGACATTGCTTCTATTATGAACGTTATAAATTTACGGTTGTTGCAAGCAATTTGCCGGGTTATCCTGACAATATTCGGAAATCAAAAAGTGGTATGCTTTGGGTACCTCTCGGACGTACACGTTTAAAAGATGATTCTTGGATTACTGAAAGACCTGCGCTAAGAAACTTTATTGCATCGGTGATGTACAGTATTTTTATCATAATCTTTTATAAGTAAAAGCTCAATTTATAATCTCAGAACTTCTTTAATTGCATTCATTACTTTTTGCATTCATTACTTTTAATTCATTACTTTTTTACAGTTATACTTTTATCAATTTTAAACACTATGAATATGTAGTTGATGATATTTTTTGATTCTTTATCATTTTTGATAATTTCTAATTTCAGGAAGCAAAAGACTGAATACTTTAATTATCTATTTCAGCTATACTTACCCTTTACAGTGGATTATTTACTTGATTTTATACTACCCAAATATGGTTTATTGTTGTTAATTGATCCAAAAAATGGTACAATTGTACGAAGTTTTCATGATCCGAACGGATCAACTATTTATTCAATTTCTCATGTAAGATTCATTAATTATTTACTAAATTTACAGTTATCAATAATTATTTTCCGGAGATACAATTATTTTAGCATTTCTTCAAACAATTACAGGCGTTAGAATTGGATGATGGATCTGTTGTCCTTGGAAGTGATGTTAATTCATATTTGGTCAGATTTAGACCATCGAAATTACCATAATAATTGACAATACTAGTGAAGAATATGCAAGACAACTTATATTTTGTCTAAAATTTGATATTTTAGTAGAAAATTTATTTATTTTTGAACTGCAATTACAATTGATAAAAATTTGTTTTGGAAGAGAAGACTCTGGCGATAAAATTTGAATTAATCCAATAAGTGTGATAATTGTTATGCACAACATTGAAAATTTAGACAAATTTAATGAAGATAAACACAAAATATCACAAATCATGGCCTGATTCCTTCATTATCTCCTCGTCAATATCCACTTCGCTATATTTACTAGGCCTCATTTTAATCTTATGGTTACCGGGAGCTAAAGTAATAAATGCACACCGTAATCCTTCATCAACTATTAACACTGCACCAGAATTATTAAAGGTTCCACAGTAATTTGGAGCTGAGAATATAGTTATCATATGACGACCAGCAAAAAATTCATAACCGTCCTACAATAATATAATTCGGAAATAATAATGACTATGGCAATATTTTATATGAATAAAAAAGCTCTTGATGGATTGTAATATAATCAATATTTCTGTAATATAAATTTTTATCACAACAATATTCTCAGAAAAAATCTTATAAATCATAATTTTTGAAAAAAAAAGAAAACGTCATTTACTTCTAAAATAGTTCTGAATAAAGGATAAGTGTTTTAACTTTTTAGAATCAATAATAAGCACCAAATTCCCCACTGAATTTATCAAATTCCATACTGATAACTTGTGAACAAGAAAGTTCTCAAACGCTAAATGTACGTGGAAACAATATATCTGTTGATTCAACTGATGCTTTTATGTACTTCATATCTGATAATTTACTTATGATTACCTGTACCACTTGATGGGCTCGAACAATGAAATCTAATTTACATTCACGACATGTTGTTATTACTGCATTTTGATTAAAATGATGAGAAATACCTCTTAATGATGGTCCAAAATTTGGATCATTTGGTCCATTAGACATTTTAGAATCTGGATCAGACCTACGGATATTTATTTATGAGTAATTATGTGAATCGCAACCCGAGCAGTTTAGAAGTAATATGTTTGCGCTACTTTAGGGATTGAGTTGTTTAGAATATGTGGATTGTGGCTCAAACAAATTCGGATACTTCGAATTCTAGAAATGCTAATTAGAATTGCATGAATAGTTTTTAAAAATACATACCATAATAAATCAACTTCTAAACTGTCTTCAAATGGATCTATTGGCCGTTTTAAGTTTCTCAAAATATCAAGATTCATCAATTTTGGTGATAAACCACCATGCATACAAAGAATACGTTTACCAACAAGAGCAGCAAATGGTAACCAATTGAATAGCTCCTATAAGTATTAAATTTGATTTAAAATTTGAAATCTAATAATTACATAATCTTGTTAATTTTAAAACCTGAAATGTGATCCATAGCAATTCGCCATTTTTGAATCGCTCTTCTAATTCTTCACGAAAGCCATATCTTTGATTAACCATTGAGCATTCGTGATTTCCACGTAACAAATAGATTTTTGATGGAAACCGAATCTTTAGAAGTAACAACAAACATATAACTTCTAAACTGTTTGGGCCACGATCGACATAATCACCCATGAATAAATATCTCTTCAATTTGTTTTTTATTCAAAATCCTTTGTCATTTTAATGAAATTGAAATCTTGAATTATTTATTTATTTATGTAAAATAAATGCGATAAAATTTAAATAAAAAATAAAAAACTGATTTATTGAATTATTAAAAATTTTTATTCAATTATAAAGTGAAATAAAAACAGATAATTTTATATAAAAAGTAAGGATTTTGAAACCTGCTGAGGCGGTCTGCCACATTCGTCAAAAATTCGTAAAAGATCCACGTATTGTCCATGAATATCTCCGCATATGTTGACTGGGACTGGAACTTCCAATAAAGTGCTTTCATTTTGTATTATTTTTCTGTAACAATTTGTCATTTGAAAAAAAAGCAAAATTTTTGCAAGTAAATCTTAAGAAAAAATCAAAAAAATCTAATATAAAAATTAAATGTTAACACTTTTATTTCATCGTAACAAAAAGTATTTCTATATTGACAAAGCTTAATCTTTCCGTTTTTTGTGTCACCAAACAAGCGAAAATTATTTATTACAGTTTTAAGAAGCATACTAATTATATCAAAAATAAAACGGAACATTAGGTTAATTAATTTATTAATAAGAACTTTTTAGCGCCAGGAAATTTCAATTTCATTAAAATGCAAAAGTTAATTTTTGAAAGTCTCAATTTTGATATTTTCTGAATATTTTTCGTCATTAACAAGTTTTACATTCTTTAGTGAAACTGTAGTCAATAAATGTAATTGAGTAACTACTTTTAAAAATAAGCTTTTTAAAAATAGATAAATAACTTCTGTGAAAATATGCAAAGTATTTTTAATTTGACAGAACGTTTTGAGAATAAAGCTTGAAAAGAAGATAAAATGAAATATGTAGTGAAAGGTTGGCAAAAAACTCGAGATATTAAAAATGTTTAAAATTATTTTATATTAATAAAATTGATGTCACTATTTGATATTATTAAATAATGAAAATGTTATAATATTAAAATATATAATATTTTTACAGAAGTTATTTATCTATTTTTAAAAAGCTTATTTTTAAAAATAGTTTTAAAATATTGATATTGAATTTCGTACTTTAAATAACTATTAAACGAATAATTTAAAAAATTAGAAGGAGCAATGCAAACTTAGCACTTGCGATCAGCTGTTGAATCTTACTGAAATCTCGAAGTACATCGTTTACCACTTTAAGATTTTTCGAATCAGTTTTGATACAGTCAAATAAAAGCATTATCAATTTTTCAGCTTCTTCGTTTGATAAAACTGGCAAATTAATCTCACCCGATGATTCTTAGAAATATTTTGAGATTAGTTTTAGAATATCCATATTCAATTTCGTATTTTAAATAACTAATAAACATTTTTATTTATTATTAAACTAACAATTAATGTAAATGTTTGCGTTTTATGAGCGAAAATTGAAAATATTTTTGATAAAAGAATTTAGTAAATGGCGATTGTTACATTTCTTATTTTAATTACAATCCAAATTGAAGTTGATATAATTTTTAATACATTAAATGACATTAAAATAGATTTGTTTACTTTCTGAAACGGAATTTTTGGATTCAGAGTTACACTCCTCTGCTGAATCTGACGAAGATTGTGACATTAGAAAAAGCATTTATAACACTTGATTAGAAATTATTTCGTTTTCTACAAATGACGGACGCACACATCTGCCAATCTTCCTATTTAAAAATAACTACTCACTTCACTTTCCGCTTTTATTTATTTAATTTCTCGCATTATGCAATTTCATGTGCAAGAATATTGAAATCCTCATCAGGCAATTTCATATGTGAATACTTGTGCATGAAAATGAGTAATTTATTTGAAAATGTTTCGCTTCATTTTTTATCGGCATAAATAGTGCAGTACTACGGTGAAAGATATTTTACTCTCCAAAAACAAATTTCCTGTATGCCCAACTTTTGCATGCTCAATTCGTACAGTTTTTTGTATCTGTTACTGGCTAGAATTAGATTAAGACAATTGTAAATGTTACAAAAATTTGATTACGGTTGTTATTGTCATAGTGCTGGAATAAAATTTGCAATGCATGAGAAGAAACTTATTGATATCCTTTATTCATAAGGGAGGGAAAAAGTTTTATAATTACAAAATTATGCAAATGAGAGTAATGAAAATAGAAGGATATTCAAAAGTTATATTTTCATTGCGCGTTTACTGGGAGATTGATTTCTCCAATTGCAGTGCCATCCTTGAAGAGAGTTGCCGGGTCAGAGTTTGGTGGTGCCTCCTTGAAAAGAATTACAAATTTGTCTTCTTTTGGTGGTCCAGCAGAACGTGTGATTTCTATAGCTGTAGCACTAGATGGCTCAACGATTCCGTATACTGGCTTCAAACGATAATCATTGTTATTCGTCGATTTCACCTGCAAAATGAAACTAAGATTAGCTTGAACTTGAGATTAGTTTTATAAAGTGCAAATAAAAAATAGCATATCATGACCTTAAAAGCCAAACGGAGGCCAGTTGGATTAGTTACTTGATGGACGGATTGTCCGCCTGAAGCTGGCACACAAGCAACTGGAGGATCAATAGAAAGTACCGCTTGTCCACCAGCGGCATCTGGTGGTGGTGCGCCAGCGGCTTCTGGTGGTGGAGCGTCAGCCATTGTGCTTTCTTACTATAACAAAATTCTGTTCGAAAAAAAGTCCAATATGATGTATCTAATCTGATATGAAATACCTAATGTTAAATGAAGTTTAACCATATCATACATGACCCACTTATTACTGTTAAGGCATTAACTGTAGACCACGCTGGAAGCAACTGGCAACATGCAGTCTGTACAGTTAACCCTGAACTGACATCCTTTCTACTTCATATTTGCCACCCAATTCACACGACCTTACTTCCTACCCAAGTTCATCCCCAGGCGCCTCCAAAATCCCAGATAAAACCAAGCAGTACCTGCGAGATCGGCGATGAGAGTCCAAATGATTTCTAAAGACAACGCATTGCAATATATACTTTCCAAAAAGGCAATTTGCATAATTCTAAATTTTTTAATGACAGAAAAGTATGTAAATAAATAATACTTTCAAAATGCAAAAAATATTAATGGCACTTAGATAATAACCTGATTAAGTACGAAAATTAAAAATATTATGCAAAAAAATATGCAAAAATTCAAAATCAATTTGTGATGAGAACTAGTTCTTTGCCATTTTTTATACTTTATGCAAAAATCAACAAGCATGAGTTCGTGCGCAAATACTGAAAAATCGTAATCTATTGTTGAAAATAGAGCTGTTCAGAGATAAAGGTTCTGAATTAAGATACATTGTGACGTTGTGACAACAAATAAATCGGAATCAAAAGTGATGGAGAGTGGGAAAGAAATCACAGGAGCCAGTGAGATGTATTTGAACGAACGATCCACGGCTGACACAGCATCGATCAATAATATATTTAAAAGTTTTGCAAACCATAGATTGACCTCCAAATAACAGTCAAGTTTTTTAAAGACTAAATTTGTCCATCTACTCAGAATGAAGATAAATCACTCACTTTGAAATGTAAAGGTGCAAGTAATTAACTGCACACACGCTACAGTAACAATAAACAAATTTTGATGAATTCTAAGTTTAATCTTGAATATTACATAATGCTTTTGTGCCAAATCAATTTTTCATTATTTCTCTGTCGATAAACAGCACATCCCATTTTTGATACGTCAAACAACTATTCGTTAATTTGTAAATAAAACAAAATAAAATAATTCAGATACTTGAACAGAATCACGACAGAATTAATCGGCGAGAAACATGTCAATACGATATCATACTGTACTCTTACAAAGTCTTCTAACCTCATCATGCACTCTTACATTACATTAAAATAATTTTTGCAGTTGAAATTTCATGGAATTAAGTTTATTTGCTTGAACAACACGAAAATAGCATAATTAGTCCTCAACCAAGCACACATCTGCATTCTGAAGTGGTCAGAGAATAGTCAAGATCTGCATTGATATGATCTTATCATATCATATCAATCAATCAATCAAGC